AATGAGTACTTTGTGAGGGGAGAGACTTTTTTAAAATTATGAACTTGCAGAAGGTCAAAACTACATATGCATAGAAGTGATAACATTTTTCTCAACTATTATAAAATATCCTGCATCTAACTGCTGCCAATTAGATTTAAAAAGCACAACTTTATTCCTCTTTAATCCAGTTATCCTTTCTTGCTTCTCTGCATTAAGCCATACAAACATACTGACAAGCATCTTTGTCCACTGATGTTAAAAATCAAAAAACCACACCAAAACCCCTCAAACCCAAACCAACCAACCTTCTCATCAATTTGAGGGAGAAAGTATTTCAGCTCTCAAGTTTTCCATTGGTGTAGACTTCACAATCATGTTTCAAAGTTTCAGCCATGGTGCTAATGAAATATGCTATTCAATAATGGCAGCAGAATCTCTATTATTTATCTAATAGGAAAGTGTTTGACTAATTCCTCAAGACTCCAGAAAACTTCTCTTTTCTCCTTCATGCACATGATATTTTGAGTGCCCCTGCAATTTTTGGTTTTGCACATATCTGCATCAATTCTTTTTCCAAAGCAGTTTCTACATTTACTTCTCATACCACCATCTCCCTTCTTTTTCCTAGTAGTCACTGAGCATGCACAGAAAAGGTTTCTAAACAGTCAGAAGCGAGGCATAGAATAACATCCAAGCTTACAGTAAATCTTATTTTGACACTACCAACTACAGAAATGTTTCTAGCCTTGTATCCCAAGTGTTATTCTTCTAAAAAAAATGTTACATTTCATACTTCTTTTTTTTTAAGGAAAATATATACCTACTTACACTTTTATTTAAATATAATAATTTTTCTTATAAAAAAACCCATCCTGACAAGGCTAAGTCTATTATTTACAAAAAAGAAAAAAAAAAAAAAAGATGACATTACAGGTTAAAAATATTAGTCATTCTATAGTCCTCAAGATATTTTTATTACTCGAGGTTTCAAGGAAAAGTTGTGTGCTGGAGAAACACAAGCTTGCAATGAATGAGTATGGAGAACAGCATTTTTGGCTGTAAACAAATATGCGCTAGTGATTTTAAAGTACAATGTGCATTAAACCTTATTCACACACAAAACAATTCATGCTCTTCATGTGTACAATATTGTGAAAAATAAGATGGAAGAAGTTAGGTAGGAAAACATTCTTGTATCATAAAAATATGTTAGAATGGGACTTTATCTATAGTGTTAATTTAAAGCTTTGCTTTAAAACAAACTTTATTTTAAAATCTTCTTTTGCTTTATCTAAAAATTAGCCTTTCTATAAAAACCATTCATTTAAAAGTTTGCTTTAAAAAAAATCATTTTATATTAGACAAAATATTAAATTATACAGGCACAATTAGTTAAGAGGGCTATAAGAGCTCATATTACAACCCTTCATTTTCCAGTGATTTGCAATACAGTCATAAGATTCTGTGTCTACTAACAACCATACGAAAATTCACCGACAGAAATCAACTTTTATTTCAAAAATAAAATTAATTTAAAAAAAAAAAATCTCTCAGATCATGTTTGACTTGTAAAGGAACTTAGTTTCCAGCTGGCTTAAGTACCTGCACATCTTTTATTTAGCCTGGGAAATATGCACATACATTAATAAAATCCCCAAAGTATTTTTGAACAAGTGGTTTATGATGACAGCTTTTATGTTTCCTTCAGATACTGTATATTAAACATTTCAAAACTCCACCTTTATCTCAGTCCAAACCTTGACACTTCAGAAAATGAATCAAGAATTATTTTGGTTTTTTTCAGGGGAAACTGCACAGATATTATGTTCAATAACAGAGAGAGCAGGGTTTACTCTTTTCTATGTTTTTCTTGTGTTTTGAAAGACGAATTGTACAACTACATAATTTACAAAGACCTTTAAAGTAAGGTAGATTACGTAATATACCAAACTGCAGATTTACAAACCAGAGCCCTGATTGTGATGCTGCTTAACTATATGATTAACTTAACACAAATGAGCAATTAATCTTGGATTTTAAAGCACGGAAACATCTGCAAGACTGGGGCTTATGTCTCCTAAACACATTAAATAAGCTGTCATCATAACAACTATTTAAAAAAAAAAACCCTAAACCAAAAATTGAAACACTACTGTCTTTTTTGCCATAAAATCATAGTAGTTAGAGCATCAGTGGCCAAACATGAATCACTATGGAATATAATTTTAATTCAACTAAATATTTTAAACAGATATTTAAATATCTGTTTCAACAAATATTTGAACTCTAATACATTTAGATGGATGCTGCTTTAGGTTTGTTTAAGTATTTAACTGAAAGTTTAGAAAGAAAATTTCAACTATAGTACATAAAAATGTAACCAACAGCATACCCAATTAAAATCAAAAAAGCACAGAAATTCAAATTTAAGGCTGACATTCTAAAATCACTCACTGTTATTTGTTTGCATTATAACTTTTCCACCCCACCCCCCCACTAAGGAATGTGAAATTCACCTATAAACTTAATCTATCAGCTACTGAAAAAAAAACCCAACCAAACCAACCTACAACCCATAACCTAAGCCTATATGTCTTTAGGAATTTGAGATTTCACTGTAGCCACCACCATTTGAACAGTGCCCTAAAGAGACATATTTCCTTACCAGCATGGTCCATTATTGCTTGATGAGAGCCCACAGTGACTTTTTGTCTAAAATAACTGCTTTGGACAAGGTTTTAGGAAAAAAGTCAATATAAAAACATGTACAATTATATTTCATTTCAAGAAAGCACTGAATTGATCTGAATTGTATCATACTGTATTAATCTTAATGCCACTCCACAGGCAAGTATATATTATGTGTTGAAGGAGGTGTGCATAGACACAAATACAAAATACATACACAGAATTCAGCCCAGATTAATGCATCTTCATTTAATTTCTAGCATAACTACTGAGTCATTTTTTGCACTTTAGAGTTATGTGGAAAAATGAGAATAGGCACAATTCATTAATGCAGCTTCTAATTTACCTTATTATAGTGCAATATTATGCACTGATAATACCATAAAAACAATATGATACTATTCAAGTTCATTCTTCTGATATACAGGTGAAGACTAGTAAATAGAATTCTAAGTGCTTTTTAACTCAAATGTACAACTTCTGCAGCTTCACACAGTAGAACAGTGCAATATATTATGCCCCCATATTTCAGGAACAAGAACAGAGTTTAGAGTTGTACTTTTTTCACATTAGATTGGCTTTGCACTTTTTGCAGCTTTAGCACTTCAACTGCTTTGTCTATGACCTCCTTTTGTTCCCTTTCCTTTTCTTCAGTCTTTTTCCAGGTGTTGGCTATAAAAAAAGAAAAGTTCTTTTGGTAGCTAGCTCTCACCTGGTAGAACAAGACAGTTTCGAAGTAACGGTACAGCAGAAGTCCTTCTAGAGGGTCGGTTCACAGTGCTAGGGTGACCCCGATCTCCACTTACTTCCCAGTTCCTTACTTTGGAAGAAGCTCCCTCTGGCTTCTTGGGAAAAGATTCTGATGTGACTTTCTGCCTCTTTTCAGGAATTCCTGTGACAACTGTTGAGTTCTGAAAGGTCCTTTTTGGTTTCCCCCTCATCTTTAATTTTTTAGCATCAGGCTTTTCTTTCTTAAGGTGCTTTCCCACTGTAGTTTTCCTTGTCTGGCATCTATGGATAGAGAAAGCAGAAGATTTCTGGGCATGAGGATGAAGTTTCCTTCTCATCCCCTCTTTTTGCTGTTTTTTAGTTCTGGAAGTTTGTTTGCCTGCAGTTACCCTGTTTCCTCTCCTCCCAACAGCACATTTGACAGACACAGGTCCTGCAGTCTTTCTGGAAAAAACTGGTTCTTTAGCAGTGCCCTCTTTCCTCTTCCGTATTGCCTTTGGATTCTCCCTCTCTAACCACTCACTCCTGACGGGAGTCAGAGGAGTTTTGGTAACTCTGCTGTTAAATGGAGCTAATCTAAGATCTCCTTCTACCACAGACTGGTGAGAGTTCAAAGGTGAAATAATCAGGTGTTTAAAAGAGTACTCAGTGTGACCAGATACCAGACAATCTGTTCTTTCTGTGGAAAGAGAAGATCCATCTGCCTTTTGACTTGAAGCTGCACCATTGCCTTTACCTGGATCTGGCAGGAAAGATGCTGAAGATGAACTATAGAAGTCTGACCAGTTGAGTGACTTTGATGGTGTGCTTTCTCTCTGTGCATCAGATAGTTTCCTCATGTTTGCATCAAACCTGAGACTTCTGAAAAGCTGTCGAACATGGGAGGGCTTTTTGGCCTTTTCTCCAACAGTACTCTTCGGAGGCGTTTTCAGAATTCGATTTGTCAGTGGATCATAATACTTAAAAGAACACTGTTTGTATTTATACCTTACAGAGTCCTTGCTATCTGTGGAGTTAGAATTTTTCCTCATTTTGGGAATATCTATAGGTTTATCTTTACACTGTTTTATCTCTGGGCATGAAAGTACATACACCACTGTCTTGGGCTGTACAGGACTCATAATCTTGCTATAGGATTCAGGAAGTTTAAGTGCACATAGTCTAGTTTTCATGTTTGGAGTTTTTTCATTCTCTGGCCACATGATGCTCGCTTTCTGATCAGCTGGATCACATTCCCTTCTAGACATTTTTCTTTTTGCTACAGGGTAGTTCAATAGACTTGTTTGGGTGCCATGGCTGACTTTAACCACCTGGCATCTTGAAGCCAGGCGCCATGTCCTTTTCCTAGGCATTTTAAGAATTTGTGGGTTGCATAGTGTATCGGAGGCTAAAGATGGATTATGAAAATCAGAGCCAGCACTTAAATCATTACTAAATTCTGGCAATGCTTTAGCTGATGCACCTTCTGTTTTATTACCCTCAACAATATTGTTCTTTTTTTCATCCTTCTGCTGTTTTTTCTTCATTCTCTTCCCTGTGCAGTTGGCTGAAGATTCAGTGTCAAAGTAGCAACGAAAACGACCTTCCTTGAAATCACGCACAAGTTCTTCAATTTTTAGATCATCTTCATACATTATTTGAGACCAAGTCTTTCCCACAAAAGAAGGAGGCACATGAGGCAGAGCTGGAAGAACTGGTTCTTCAGTATTGACGACTTCCTGTTTCACTGTTTCCGTTTTCTCTACGGACTCACTTTTTAAAACAGAAGAGAGCTGTGTTCCATAGTCTTTATCTTGCAAACTTATCTGGACTGTTTTTAGGAATTCTAGATCTTTTATAGCTGCCTTGGGTAAGTCTGTTCCTGCCTGAATAGGTACATCACAGTCAAAACTCATTTCAGAACCCTCTAAATTAATATGGTCCAGAAGTGATGAAAAAGCTAACGAGGTATTATCCTCCTCTTTGAAATAGATTTCTTCAGATGTAGTTCCATGGCAGTATTTCAAAATAACATCTTCAATAGTTTCATCCACTGAACTTTCATCACCTCTGTTCATCTTCACTTTTTTGCATCTTGCTAGTTGTGGGGATGTCCCAAGATCTAGGGAGCTGCTAATACCCACAGTATCCCTGAGATGGAAATCAGACACCAAAGTTTCATCCTGAGTTTGTGAACCATCTCGTTTTGAGAGATATTGACCTGAGATAATACATAAAGAATTGCTGTGGCTGCACATACGATTCTGATGAGAAACCGAACAGTGTTGGGGGTGAACCAGTGCCGGAGCAGGATTCAAGCACGGGTTCGATAACACATCACTACTGCATACCTCCATTCCTGTTTTATCACATCCACTATGTAGAATCAGATTTGATGCTGCCAAATTCCCAACATTTTTTCCTGTTTTAGGATTAACAGAAGAACTATGGATTAAAGGACTGACAGAAGAACGCTGAGGTACTGGGCTCAGAGCTGTAAACTGGCCTTCATGGCTATGATTTGCAATTTGAGCATCTTTCAGGGTATCCCATTTCTCATTACTACAAATGTCTACAGACCGCTGGGATATTCTTACATGTTCCTGCCCTCTTTCTAGCTTTTGAATAAATGCTTGTGTTACAGAAGTTTTCTTTGTGCCCTCATGAGACAGGCATGGAGCAGAAGAGCCAATTTCTCCAACAGACTCCTGGTCTTTGCTGGAGATCTCCTGTTCATCTTCAGTCCTCTTTTTCTCCATCTCTTCTGTGGATAGGCAAGCAATTCTAGCAGCCTCTAGAGTGACAGAGAGTGGTATGTCATCATAGGTTGGTCTAAAGGGGAAGAGAAAAAAAAAATCTTATATAAATACTGTAAATATGCTTTAGATTTTTCAAACAGTAGGGGTTTTTTTTTATTAAAGAGTAATTACCTAGGTGCATCACACCTAATGAACAAACTCAAGTTACCAGCTCTGCTACTTTAGCAGAAATATACAATTTAAAAAAAAAAAAAAAGGAGGAGGGAGGAACATTCCACAATGCTAAAAATAACAATTCAGGCATTAGTCAGTTACCCTCTTCATGCAACCACCCATTAAGAATGGCCAAACATACATTATGATACACAGCAAAGCAAGAAAAAGATATTTCCCATGTTTGAAGTTGTGAGCTTATACAGAGGTTCTTTCACTGGTAAAACTATCATTAATTAATATTGAGCTTTTGTAAAGAAATGGAACATTATAATACAGCACAGCATAAAAATATTATTGATTACAAATGCCCCTTTCTCTACAAAATGTGACTGCCTGATAGGAACTCTGCACATGTTGCCAAGGAATTCCATGCTTACTGTTTCTCACAGACATACCACAGCTTCTGACTCACTTCTGTAAGAAGCCAAGTTACGATAGCTCAGCCTTATTGTGACAACAGCAGATTTTTATATATTCTGCAGCTGGCAGACCTGTCTTTAGTACTGCCTCAAATACAAGTGTTTATGTATTGCAGAATTACAGAACAGACAGATATGGACTATTTCTCTTATGCAACACAGGAACCTACAGGACTTCAACGTGTAACAGCTGGCCAAATCCAATGAAAATAATTGTTAAGAAAGTAAATATAACTGAAGAAAGAATATTATGTTTCATTTGAAAGTTCTAACCAGACCTTGAGAGACCCAAATGGATGCTTACTTTAATAAATGGCAGACAGCCATGCACCTCTTATGGTGCATTCATCTGCTAACAGAAGTATTGTGAATAAATTTTATTGTACAGTCATGTCCTTGGTTATAAACATTCAGCTTCCACATTTATTGAAAGTTGAAAATCAATCAGGAGCCAATAGGATTAGCAATACTTAATAGTCAGCATGTGCAGAAGTCCTTGAAGGACTCAGACATTAGTTGATAAAGCCAACTGATAACAAGCAAACTTGTAGCAAGTATTTCTAAACAGCCACTTCACACTGAAAAACAACCACAAGAGAACTTATCCGAATACAGCTATGTCTCAGCCTTTTACTGAGATGACAGATAAAAGAAGAATTCTCAGCTTGGAAGAACTGTTTTATAGTTGAAAAAAATGACAGGTTTGGCCAACTTTTTTTTTTTTTAAAAAAAGTATTTAAAACTGACATCTACAGAGTTGTCATGGTTTAGCCCCAGCCAGCAATTAAGCACCATGCAGCCGCTCGCTCACTCACTCTCTTCCCTCCCCCAGTGGAACAGGGAAGAGAATCGGGGAAAAACTTGTGGGTTGAGATAAAAAAGCCACAGACGCTTTGAGATGTACCTCCTCCAGCGTGGGCTTATCCTTGTTCCACAATCCCATCAGAGGTATACCTGCCATGGCACAGACATAACCATGGCCACACACAATTCGAGATACACCTGCTCTGGCATGGGCTTATCCACGGCCACAGACACTTTGGGGTGTCCTGCTCCCATGTGGACTCATCCACAGGTCACAGTCCCTTTGACTCCAGTTCACACTAGAGTTCCAGCCTGTCCAGTACAGCAGCACAGAAACCGCAGTGATGCCCTGGCCATCTGCCAGCCTGGGCACAAGGCCATTCATTGCTGTTATCAAAATGTTCCCAGGCACAGCAGAGCCAGACGATAAGCAGTACAGCAACCAGTGGAAGCAAAAAGCAGCCACTAATGAGCACTAGACTCTTAATATACAGTAAAGCAAGCAAATTCATGGCAAGCACAGGAGCCTGACTATTAAGAGCTAAACGGCAATAACAGCTATAAATTCTACCTAGCATACTCCAATCAAATCTGTTGTTACCTCAAACCCTTCGAGCCCCATGTTGAGTGCCAAAAAGGACTGTCATGGTTTAGCCCCAGCCAGCAACTAAGCCCCACGCAGCCACTCGCTCACTCCCCCACGGTGGGATGGGGGAGAGAATCAGAGTAAAAGTGAGGAAAGTCATGGTTTGAGACAAAGACAGTTATTAAACTGGTAAAAGGTAAAGCAAAAGCCGCACACGCAAGCAAAGCAAAACAAGGAATTCATTCACCACTCCCTATGGGCAGGCAGGTGTTCAGCCATCTCCAGGGAAGCAGGGCTCCATCACACGTAATGCTTTCTTGGGAAGACAGACGCCGTAACTCCGAACGTCCCTCCACCCCTTCCTTCTTCTTCGTCCCAGCTTTATATCCCGAGCATGACGTTATATGGTAGGGAATATCTCTTTGGCCAGCCTGGGTCAGCTGTCCCGGCTGTGTCTCCTCCCAGCTTCCTGTGCACCCCCAGCCATCTTGTTAGCAGGCCAACACAAGAAGCTGGACTGCCCTTGACTACTTAGCAACAAGTCAAAACATTAGCACATTATCAACATTTTCTCATCCCAAATCCAAAACATAGCCTCACACTAGCTTCTGTGAAGAAAATTATCCTGGCTGACCAATCACTTCTGAGGCAGCTCAAACTCCTTCATACACTGCCAATCTCTCTTTTTCAGTTGGAGTATAGCGGGCCTCAGATCCCCTATACCCTTGACTCCAAAAGTCTAGAGGTCCACCTTGGATCTCTCCTGGTGCCAGAGACTCCAGGTAGGGCCATTCTTCCCGGCTGCGATGCAGAGCATATTTTTAACATCTTGTCCTGCCTGGAATAACCCAAGGGCTACTGCATTAACTATCTCCTGTTTAATTTGTTCAAAGGCTTGCTGTTGCTCAGGGCCCCATTTAAAATAGTTCTTTTTCCAGGTCACTTGATAAAGAGGTCTTACAATCATACTATAATTTGGAATATGCATTCTCCAGAAACCCACAATGCCCAAAAATGCTTGTGTTTCTTCTTTGCTAGTGGGTGGAAACATAGCTGTTATTTTGTTGATGACATCCATTGGGATCTGATGACATCCATCTTGCCATTTTATTCCTAAAAACTGCATCTCCTGTGCAGGTCCTTTGACCTTATTTTCTTTTATGGCAAAAACAGCTTTCAGAAGGATTTGAATTATTTTCTTCTCTTTCTTGAAAACTTCTTCTGCTGTGTTGCCCCATACGATGATGTCATCAATGTACTGCAGGTGCTCTGGAGCTTCACCCTGTTCCAGTACAGTCTGTATCAGCCCATGGCAAATGGTAGAGCTGTGTTTCCATCCCTGGGGCAGTCGATTCCAGGTGTATTGGACACCCCTCCAAGTGAAAGCAAACTGTGGCCTGCACTCTGCCACCAAAGGGATTGTGAAAAACGCATTAGCACTATCAATTGCGGCATACCACTTGGCTGCCTTTGACTCCACTTCCTATTGAAGTTCTAGCATGTCCGTCACGACAGCACTCAGTGGCAGCGTGACTTCATTCAGGCCACAAATAGTCTACTGTCAATCTCCACTTTCCATTAGACTTTCACACTGGCCATATGGGGCTGTTAAAGGGTGAGCGAGTCTTGCTGGTCACTCCTTGGCTCTCCAGCCGACGAATCAGCTCATGGATGGGGATCAGGGAGTCTCTGTTGGTGCGATACTGTCACTGGTGCATTATTGTGGTAGCAATTGGCACCTGTTATTCTTCGACCCTCAGCAAGCCCACAACAGAAGGGTCCTCTGAGAGACCCAGGCAAGGTGGACAGCTGTTTAATTTCTTCTGTCTCCAAGGTAGCTATACCAAAATCCCACCAGTACCCTTTTTATGTCTCCTTGAAACTGCAAAGGTGACAGCATACTTCTTCCAAATATTCTAGTTTATCAGGATTCTGCACTTGTTCAGGAGTAAAGTTCCAAAACACTGAAGGTGCCCACCACCCTAGGCATTTGCCCATGCTGTTCCACACACCCTGCCATTCATAACTATACAGCCTTGGGATAGATCACTGGATGATATTCTTAAATTGCTTGCTAACCTCAGACAAAACCAAAACAATATTCACAAGAAGTACCAATAGACTTCTATTTTAACTACCCAAGGGTGTTCAAAATACTGAAAAGTTACTGTGATGAAGGAGGAAACGTTATGACAGAGGGTAGCAAAGGTGCCATTCTGCATTTCCTCCATAAAAAGCCTTTTGGAGGAAGAAGTACAATTGCTAATTGTCTCTACAAGATAGTATCTGAAATAAAGTAACAGCTTTAGTACTGAGCTCAGATGATACCACATTAAGCTCAAGGTCAGTGCCCTAAAAACAAGTCTCCCAGGCAAGATATTACTAATCATTGCAGAGTACAGTAGCCTGCAGAAGCCAACACCAATCTTTAACATCTACACTTACTAATCATTGCAGAGTACAGCACCCTGCAGAAGCCGACACCAATCTTTAACACGTACAGCAAAGATGAGAGCATAATGCAAATCAAATAAACTGATATCGGGACCTGCAACCATTATTATCTCAAGCCCTTCGAGCCCCACAATTGGCACCAAAAAGGACTGTCGTGGTTTAGCCCCAGCCAACAATTAAGCACCAAGCAGCTGCTCGCTCGCTCCCTCCCTCCCCCCACCGGACAGCGGAGAGAATCGGGAAAAACTCATGGGTTGAGATAGAAACAGTTTAACAGGACAGCAAGAGAGAAGGAAACAACAATGATAACAATAATAATAATACTGACAAAGGAATGTACAGGAACATGTGATGCCCAATACAGCAATTGCTCACCACCCAGTGAACAATAGCCCGTCCCCAAGCAGCAACTCCCACCCCCCAGCTAACTCCAGTTTATGTACTGGGCATGACATTATGTGGTAGGGAATATCTCTTTGGCCAGTTTGGGTCAGTTGTCCCGGCTGTGCCCGCTCCCAGTTCTTGTGCACCTCCTCACTGGCAGAGCATAAGAATCTGAAAAGTCCTTGGCTTTGTATAAGCACTACAGCCACT